CATATAAAAGCGAGCCTACTGATGGTTCCCATAGAAGGGGAAGGTCACGAGTTAGATGGAAAGACCAACTAGAAAACAACATCTTAGGGACCCGCCCATTCTATGGTCCCTAAAAAAATATTCTTTTAAAAAATCCACGCCTATTCTATGGTCCCTAAAAAAATATTCTTTTACAAAATCCACGCCTATTCTATGGTCCCTAAAAAAATATTCTTTTAAAAAATCCACGCCTATTCTATGGTCCCTAAAAAAATATTCTTTTAAAAAATCCACGCCTATTCTATGGTCCCTAAAAAAATATTCTTTTAAAAAATCCACGCCTATTCTATGGTCCCTAAAAAAATATTCTTTTAAAAAATCCACGCCTATTCTATGGTCCCTAAAAAAATATTCTTTTAAAAAATCCACGCCTATTCTATGGTCCCTAAAAAAATATTCTTTTAAAAAATCCACGCCTATTCTATGGTCCCTAAAAAAACGCCTATTCTATATTCTTTAAAAAAAAATATTTTTCAAAAAATCCACGCCTATTCTATGGTCCCTAACAAAAAATATTCTTTAAAAAAATCCACGCCTATTCTATGGTCCCTAACAAAAAATATTCTTTAAAAAAATCCACGCCCATTCTATGGTCACTAAAAAAATATTCTTTAAAAAAAACCACGCCAATTCTATGGTCCCTAAAAAAAATTCTTTAAAAAAAATCCCCGCCTATTCTATGGTCCCTAAAAAAATATTCTTTTAAAAAATCCACGCCTATTCTATGGTCCCTAAAAAATATTCTTTTAAAAAATCCACGCCTATTCTATGGTCCCTAAAAAAATATTCTTTTAAAAAATCCACGCCTATTCTATGGTCCCTAAAAAAATATTCTTTTAAAAAATCCACGCCTATTCTATGGTCCCTAAAAAAATATTCTTTAAAAAAATCCACGCCTATTCTATGGTCCATTAAAAAACTATTCTTTAAAAAAATCCACGCCTATTCTATGGTCCCTAAAAAATATTCTTTAAAAAAATCCACGCCTATTCTATGGTCCCTAAAAAAATATTCTTTTAAAAAATCCACGCCTATTCTATGGTCCCTAAAAAAATATTCTTTTAAAAAATCCACGCCTATTCTATGGTCCCTAAAAAAATATTCTTTTAAAAAATCCACGCCTATTCTATGGTCCCTAAAAAAATATTCTTTAAAAAATCCACGCCTATTCTATGGTCCCTAAAAAAATATTCTTTAAAAAAATCCACGCCTATTCTATGGTCCCTAAAAAAATATTCTTTTAAAAAATCCACGCCTATTCTATGGTCCCTAAAAAAATATTCTTTTAAAAAATCCACGCCTATTCTATGGTCCCTAAAAAAATATTCTTTTAAAAAATCCACGCCTATTCTATGGTCCCTAAAAAAATATTCTTTTAAAAAATCCACGCCTATTCTATGGTCCCTAAAAAAATATTCTTTTAAAAAATCCACGCCTATTCTATGGTCCCTAAAAAAATATTCTTTTAAAAAATCCACGCCTATTCTATGGTCCCTAAAAAAATATTCTTTTAAAAAATCCACGCCTATTCTATGGTCCCTAAAAAAATATTCTTTTAAAAAATCCACGCCTATTCTATGGTCCCTAAAAAAATATTCTTTTAAAAAATCCACGCCTATTCTATGGTCCCTAAAAAAATATTCTTTTAAAAAATCCACGCCTATTCTATGGTCCCTAAAAAAATATTCTTTAAAAAAATCCACGCCTATTCTATGGTCCCTAAAAAAATATTCTTTAAAAAATCCACGCCTATTCAATGGTCCCTTAAAAAACTATTCTTTAAAAAAATCCACGCCTATTCTATGGTCCCTAAAAAAATATTCTTTAAAAAAATCCACGCCTATTCTATGGTCCCTAAAAAAATATTCTTTAAAAAAATCCACGCCTATTCTATGGTCCCTAAAAAAATATTCTTTAAAAAATCCACGCCTATTCTATGGTCCCTAAAAAAATATTCGTTAAAAAATCCACCCCTATTCTATGGTCCCTAAAAAAAATATTCTTTAAAAAAATCCACGCCTAGTGGCCTTTTAGTCCTTAAAAAAAATATTCTTTAAAAAAATCCACGCCTATTCTATGGTCCCTTGAAAAACTATTCTTTAAAAAAAAACCCCACGCCTATTCTATGGTCCCTAAAAAAATTCTTTAAAAAAAATCCCCGCCTATTCTATGGTCCATAAAAAAATATTCTGTAAAAAAATCCACGCCTATTCTAGACCTTAAAAAAATATTCCACGCCTATCTAAAAATATTCAATTAGAAATTTAAAATATATGTTGCCCTTTATATATAAATTTAACTTTATGACACATTAAGAAAAAATTTAAAATATTTCCAATCTCTATATAAAATCAAAAAAATATCTTTTTAGTTTTATTTTTAATTTTCACTATGGAATTCGAACATTTAATGAAATATTAAAAATCAAAACTATAAGCAGACCAAAAAACATTCAACATTAATGTCAACTAAATACATTTCAGCTAAGTTATGGCCTGCTGCTTAATGTTTTCGGCGAAATATATCTACCCCCAGAGAATATTTTTATTTTATATATGCCACTGATTTGGACATAATTGAAATCACAATATATATAGACATATAAAAAAATTGTCTAAAAGATCATTAAAAATATTAAAAGAATTTTTAGATTTTTTGCATATCATTTCGATTTTTTTAAGAAACAAAAAAAAAAATTAAGAAATGTGCAAAATTCTAATACCTCCCACCATTGCCACCCTTCCTGCCTGCATCACATATGTTTATCAGCAACGACATTCATCCATCCGTCTATCCCCCAAAAACACCATTAGTTCAGATGTGGTGTGAAGATGTTGATGTTGCTGCCGGTGATGATGATTATTGTTATTGTTTTGGCCTCAACATGAGTATTTTTTTTCTTGCGGGGGGAAATTAATTAAAATACAACCCATCACAGATTTGCTATAAATATTATTGAAACGTATTAAAAATAAAATCGAATAAAATATGTGAAAAATTCAAAACAAACACACAACAAATCCCGGTCCCCACTTTCGCTATCGGACGAATTCACCCACCATCACATTGGAAATCACTCGAAATTATGTCAACGTATTGAAATTTTTGTGTAGCGTGTGTGCACAGTGCCAGGATATTTATGATGAAGGTGGAAATCTTTGAAAGATGTGATTGAGTAGTGAGAAGGAAACAGTGGGGCTGTGTCAGAAAACAAATAAATAAATTGAAAAATCCACGCCTATGATAGTCTTTGAAAAAATCCACGCCTATGATAGTCTTTGAAAAAATCCACGCCTATGATAGTCTTTGAAAAAATCCACGCCTATGATAGTCTTTGAAAAAATCCACACCTATGATAGTCTTTGAAAAAATCCACGCCTATGATAGTCTTTGAAAAAATCCACACCTATGATAGTCTTTGAAAAAATCCACGCCTATGATAGTCTTTGAAAAAATCCACACCTATGATAGTCATTGAAAAAAAATCCACGCCTATGATTGTCTTTGAAAAAATCCACGCCTATGATAGTCTTTGAAAAACTACACGCCTATGATAGTCTTTGCAAAAATCCACGCCTATGATAATCTTTGCAAAAATCCACGTCTTTGAAAAAACCCACGCCTATGATAGTCTTTGAAAAAATCCACTCCTATGATAGTCTTTGAAAAAATCCACGCCTATGATAGTCTTTGAAAAAAATCCACGCTTATGATAGTCTTTGAAAAAAATCCACGCCTATGATAGTCTTTGAAAAAATCCACGCCTATGATAGTCTTTGAAAAATCCACGCTTATGATAGTCTTTGAAAAAATCCACGCTTATGATAGTCTTTGAAAAAATCCACGCCTATGATAGTCTTTGAAAAAATACACGCCTATGATAGTCTTTGAAAAAATCAACGCCTATGATGATCTTTGAAAAAATCCACACCTATGATAGTCTTTGAGAAAAATCCACGCCTATGATAGTCTTTGAAAAAATCCACGCCTATGATAGTCTTTGAAAAAATGCACGCCTATGATAGTCTTTGTAAAAATGCACGCCTATGATAACCTTTGAAAAAATCCACATTTGAAAAAATCCACGCCTATGATAGTCTTGGAAGAAATCCACGCCTATGATGATCTCTGAAAAAATCCACGCCTATGATAGTCTTGGAAGAAATTCACGCCTATGATAATCTCTGAAAAAATCCACGCCTATGATAGTCTTGGAAGAAAACCACGCCTATGATAGTCTTTGAAAAAATCCTTAAAAAATCCACGCCTTTTCTGGTTCTAGAAAAAATATTCCTTAAAAAATCCACGCCTTTTCTGGTTCTAGAAAAAATATTCCTTAAAAAATCCACGCCTTTTCTGGTTCTAGAAAAAATATTCTTTAAAAAATCCACGCCTTTTCTTTAAAAAAATATTCTTTAAAAAATCCACGCCTATTCCGGTCTTTGAAAAAATATTCTTTAAAAAATCCACGCCTTTTCTTCTTAAAAAACACCTTTTCTGGTTGTAGAAAAAATATTCCTTAAAAACTCCACGCCTTTTCTGGTTCTAGAAAAAATATTCCTTAACAAATCCACGCCTTTTCTGGTTCTAGGAAAAATATTCTTTAAAAAATCCACGCCTTTTCTGGTTCTAGAAAAAATATTCCTTAAAAAATCCACGCCTTTTCTGGTTCTAGAAAAAATATTCCTTAAAAAAATGCAAGCCTTTTCTGGTTCTAGAAAAAATATTCCTTAACAAATCCACGCCTTTTCTGGTTCTAGAAAAAATATTCTTTAAACAATCCACGCCTACGGCTGGTCTTTGAAAAAATTTCTTTAAAAATCCAAGCCTAAGGCTAGTCCTTGAAAAAAAATATTCTAAAAAAATCCTCACCTATGTTGGTTAATGAAAAAAATATTCTTTAAAAAATCACTTATATGTTGGCCCTTTAAAAAATGTTTAGTCCACTCTCTCATACTTACAGTTGGATCTGAGCACCTCTGACATTTACAGGTAAACGTTTTCTTCATCTTCAAGTACAAGTGGCGAGCAATATTCGATGTGAACAACTTCGTATAGGTCGTGGTGATCTCTGTACCCGCTGGTATATCCACCGATGCCTTTACAATCATATTATTTGTCTTCTCCTCAAAGGTATAATATGAATTCGGTACACAATCATGATTGATCAAGGCAAAGAGTGGAAACAAAGCACGATAGAAAAATTCCTGATTATCATTGGTACGATCCGAGGTCTCATCGAATCCATTGGTACGCAACACAGCCACTGCTCGATTCATAATATCGATAAGTTTCTTATCCGTTGGGAATTTACGGAAACACTTTGCAGCATTTCGTACCTCAGTACGATGATTATTGTCCAATGTGGCCTGTAGGCAATACATCAGATCACGCTGTTCCTTGGTGCAATTAATGGCACGAGCTGGACACAGCAGGCGTATAATTACGGAATTGGCCACATCCGGTTCACAGGGTTCCCATGACTTGAATAGGGCACAATCGGCCTTGTGTTGTTTCTTTTTCTGGCATAAATTACAAATCGGCAGACCACATCCTTGGCGGCACATAAACTTGGTATCGGGTAGGAGTTTAAAGCAAACCGAGCAAGAATTTAGGGTGTCCTCCTTACGAGCCGCTGGACCAATCAGCAATGGCATATCACGAAATATGACTTCACCGCGTTTAATGTTACGTGTGGTAAATACACCGCGACCCGCAATTTTCGAAATACCGATTTCCCATGCAGGATCCTTATCTTTGAACGGTTCCAAGAATTGTTCCAACAATTCCGTGGTACGTTTCGGACAAATCATGGTTATGGGAAATTTGCACTAAGTTTGGTTTATTCGAAAATTTCTTATTTTTATTTTACAAAAATTTTCAAAATTATTTTTTTTTATTTTTTAATATTCCACAAAATATTTAATTGCTAACATCCACTTTGGTTTATATCGAAATATTTGTATTTTAAATTTTAATCCTTTAAAATATTTGTTTTTTTATTTTTTAATTATCCTTAATTTTTTTTAAAAAATATTTTTATTGTACTTTCTCTTTTTTATTGACTCAATTTTTATGTCAAAATGTTTTTTTCAAATTTTGTTCCTTCTTTCAAGCTACGCGATCTTTGGCTAACTGTCGCCTCATTCCAGTTTACAAGACTTATATTTAAAATGTTGCCAAAATTTGTGGCAACAGTACAACGAACCAAAGCGAAGCGGATCGTTCGTATGCAAACATTTGGCTTTCGGCTTTTGTGTGCGAAAAATTTTTTTGTTTTAAATTTTTCATCAATTCATAATTTTTGTGTTTGTGTGAGGGAAATTATGGCGAATATATTCATGTTTCTTTGGTGAAAGGAAGAGGTCATAGACTCACGATCCTAATATTTAAATGGGAATTTTGAACCAATACAAATATTTGGTGTAAGGTTCGAAATCCGAAAATTAGTGTGGATTTTATTAAAAAAAATTAAATATTTGTAGGCGACGATTTTTTTAAGACTTTTTTCAAGCAACCTAATAATAGTGGATTTTTTAAAAAAATATTTGTTCAAGCTCTCTGATGGACGTGGATTTAAAAACAAAATTGGTTCAAGCTCTCTGATAGGCGTGGATATTTAAAAAAATATATATGTTCAAGCTCTCTATGGGCTTACTTACTTAACTGGCTTGTGACAGAAATTTCGTTCCATAAGCCGAGCTTAAAAAGATTTCCAGGCGCGTCGGTCTTTTGTGCAGTTTTTCCAATTTGAAGGACCATATTCGGCAATGTTGTCTTCCACTTACTCTTTCCATCTTATTCGTGGCCTTCCCCTTCTGCGTGAACCATCAGCTGGTTCGCTTTTATATGTCATCTGGGCTGGGGCATCTTCATCCATTCTCACAACATGCTAGGTCATGTTGTGAGAATGGATGAAGATGCAACGTAGTCGCTGCAGCTCAATACGACTAACAATGTCGATGTCCGAGAATAGCTGGTACAGCTCATGGTTCATTCGATGGCGATATTCACCGTCAACGCAGATCGCCACATAGATCTTTCCGAGAATTTTTCTCTCAAACACTCCAAGAGCTGCCTCATCTGCTGGCGTAAGTACCCATGCTTCAGATCCATATAATAGCACGAGTAGTAGCAGCGTCTTGTAGAGTGTGAATTTGGTCTGGCGGGAGGTGGCCTTGCTTTAGAGTTGTTTGCTCAGACCCATAGCATCTGTTGGCCATCACTATCCTTCTCCGAATTTCAAAACTGATGTCATTCGTTTTATTTATGGCGGTACCAGTATATAAAATCTTTAACTACCTCGAAGCTGTAGTTCTCAAGTTCCATAGTTGGTCCGAGTCTACTGGACGTCTTGTGCATTGATACCATCAGCTTGGCCTTCTCGCCGTTTACTGCCAGACCGACTTTGGCAGACTCCTTTTCAATTTGCTCTAAGGTGGATGTTACCGCTCGCAATGTTCGACCCATTATGTCGATGTCATCGGCGAGTAACATGTGTTATTTGGTGTACAATGTGTCATGTATTTTGCCTCTCGTATGACCTTTTCCAGCAGGATGTTAAATAGGTCACACGACAAACTGTCACCTTGTCTGAATCCTCGTTCGGTATTTAAGGGCTCCGATAGGTCCTTTCAAACTTTAACTTCTGATCTTATGCCACTTAAAGTTATCCTGCTTAGCCGATTAATTTTCGGCAAGAATGCCAAACGCAGACATGGCTTTATACACCTCTGAACGGATAGGGCTGTCGAATGCGGCTTTATAGTCAACGATAAGGTGGAATGTGCCGATGTGTTTTTTTCGTGGTTTTTTCTCCAGGATTTGACGCAGAGTGAAAATCTGGTCAACGGTGGATTTGCCAGGACTGAAACCGCATTGGTATGATCCAATAATGTCATTGACCATTGGCTTCAATCGTTCACACAGCACCCTGGATAGCACTTCATATGCGGTGGGAAGAAGGCCAATTCCTCTATAGTTGGCACACATCCTCTTGTCTCCTTTTTTGTGCACGGGACACAGGATGCTGTGGTTCCAATCTTCACAGCTATTATTTGATACCAGAAGTTTTTCAAAATGCTCCTTCCAGATCCTCAGCACGCTGTCACCAGTTTTCCTTCTTCAACTCTACAGGAGGATGTGCCTGCATCGGTATCCGTTGGTAGAGTTTTCGGACTTCATTCTGACTCCTGTACATCTTGATTTGCTCACGCTCACATTTTTCTTGCTCGTTCTTCTTTTTTCTGAAAATACGTCTCTCCTCTCTCCATTTCTCCCGATAGTTCTCCATCGCATTACGTGTTGCTACTGTCCGCAGGGTTGCCCAACACGCTGCGTTTTTCATATCAGTAGCATTACGACACTCCTGATCGTACCACGGATTTATTGATGGTGGTCTTTGGTACCCAAGTGTTGCTTTTGCTGCATTTTTTAGGGATTGGGCAATTCTCTGCTTCTGTGCTTCTTTATTATTTATTATTACCGGGACAAGGGGTGCTTTCGTCAAGCAGGTGGGCAAGTTGAGCGGAGTAGCTTTTTGACTAGTTTCCGTGTTACATTAGATCGCACCTTTGCTGCTACATTAAGACAGATGCGAACCTTGGCTGCCACAAGGTAATGGTCCGAATCGATATTCGCTACTTGGATCGATCGAACGTCTAAAACACGGGATTAATGCCTTCCGTCTATCACAACATGATCGATTTGATTTCTCGTTGTTCGATCAGGAGAAATCCAAGTGGCCATCTGGTGCTACTACCTACCATGTTTTTTGTCAATCATCCTCATGCCGTTGTCGGATGTTTCTTCGAGGAGGCTGAATTTTCCCACAGTGGGAAAAAATGCTTTCCCTTCCGATTTTTGCATTAAAATTTCCTTGTAGAATTTTATTGTCATGCCCAGGGCAACGGTCATATGCTGTTCCTAGGCGCTCGTAAAATATGTCTTTGGTCTGTTCATCTTTATCTTCGGTCGGAGCATGGGTGCAAATGAGACTGGTGTAGAAGAACTTCGCTTTTATGCGGATTATAGCAATTCGCTCATCCACTGGAGTGAATCTGGAGACGAGGTCTTTTATTCTCCCGTTAACCATAAATCCGCAGCCAAATTCATGTCTCGTTTCATGGCAGCTATAATACAGTGCGTAATCGACTGATTTACTTACGCCAGTGCATTTCCTGTAAGGCAATAATATTGGCATTGTACTTCTCGAGTACATCCGCCAAGGCGAAATCTGCGCCTATTCTGTACAAAGTGTGCACATTCCAATTGCAGATTCGCAGATCGTGGTCCTTTATACGTTTGCGGGGGTCGTCAACATTGGGGGTGTTTGGTTTCATTTTCGTTGCTTTTTCATAGTAAGAGGTGTTTGCCGAGTGTGGACAACTAACCCGACGCCTCAACACATTTTATATAGTTCTTATGGGTGAACTCGCGGCACATATGAGCTCAATATTTCAATGAATGATGAAAATAGTTATCTCAGGTGACTCCACGGGGAGGTCAGTGTCCACAATTGAGATGAAAGAGAGACCAAGATTAGCCTGGGCCTCGCCATATTAAAGACAATCAAAGCCGTTGCTTGGTATCTATCATCCCCTACGTCACCACCACAGTCAAAAATACAATTTTTTATGTTGGTATTATAGCCAGCCCCAAGAGTTTGTAACGAAATATTGGTCCCACCTTTTTAAATATGTATGTGTTTAGTAAAATATTTTACCAATTAACAATTATTTTATTTTGTCATTTTAATTTTAATGACAAACGTTAAGACCATCCAATATCCAATATTATAGCCATTTACATATGTGTGTGTATCCTCGCGTAAATTATAAATAAACGTCATTCACAAATCCATGCATCATTTTACACAAAAAATGATGTTGTTTTGATTTCCAATCAAGCACATCGTAAAATAGCTGCCAACTAGTCAGGTACAACCGAACAGATTTGATGTGTGAGCACTTCATAATTCGAATGCGATTGGTTCCACAACATCCGTTCGGTTATGCTATTCAAGAGGCCGAGAGCGAGAACAGTGCGAACGAGGGAATGCCAGCCACATTCAATATTCATAAATTCAAAATTAATTGTACACTTCGTAGTTCCTGTTGTTCGACATATTTTGGGTTTTAGCAAAGCAAAACCGATCATTATGGTTGTGTTTGGTTAATCGAAATACGAACTAACTACAGGAATTTTTATAGAAGAATATCAGTGGACCTACCAGGCACTAAAAACATAATTCAGAATTTTGTTTTTCTAAAAATATTAGTTATGGCATTTTGCTTTTTTGCTGGCATAACAAAGTGGCATCATTTGTGCCAATTGATTTCGAATTTATCTTCTGTTCGGATTTTCGTGTTTTAGGAAATATTGAAAATTTGTATTTATTTGTTTTTGCCATAAATAAAATAATATTTGCTTTACACTTTTATTACAAAGTAATTTTTGTTTTCCGTTTGCAATGAAAACTAAGGTCTACTGTAATAAATAGAAGAGATATTTCATGGATAGAAGAGATTATATAAGGACAATCACCAAAGTGGATTTCTTTAAAAATATTTCTTCTAATACCAATATATTCTTTAAAAAATCCACGCCTTTTTGAGTGCTGGAAGAAAATATTCTTTAAAAAAAATTCACGCCCATCAGAGAGCAAAGAAAAAGAAAACCAACCCCCCCAATGTTGACGATCCCCGCAAACGTATAAAGGACCACGATGTGCAAATCTGCAATTGGAATGGGCGCACGTTGTACAGAATAGACGCAATTTTCGCCTTGGCGGATGTACTCGAGAAGTACAAAG